GACTGGCAAGCTAATTTTAAGATATAGTGAGAAAAATGACTACTTCCCATATGGACCTAATAGTGTACTGATTTTAATACTAATTGAAAGTGAATATCAAATGAAATGATCCGATGCATATGTGAAAAATTTGTGTGTGTGTGTGTGTGTGTGTGTGTGAGAGAGAGAGAGAGAGAGAGAGAGAGAGAGAGAGAGAGAGAGAGAGAGTTAATGGTCCATTCCTGATTTTTCTGACCGCAGGTGCTTGTGAGGAAAAGGTGATGACCCAGTCTCCAGGCTCCCTGGCTGTGTCTGCAAGAGACATGGTCACCATCAGCTTCAAGTCCAGCCAGAGTCTCTTATCCATCCACAAGGACTACATGGCCTGGCACCAGCAGAAGCCAGGACAGGTCCCAGGCTGCTGAACTCCTGGGCAACCATGTGGGCAGCTGGGGTCCACTGGAGGTTCAGGGGCAGTGGGTCAGGGACAGATTTCCCTCTCCATAAGCAGCCCCAGGCTGAGGACATGGCCTATTGTTCCTATAGCAGCACCACAGTGCTCCTCCCGAGAGCCTCAGCCTCAGACCAAGCCTCCTGAGGTTGAAGGTCAGGGAGCCTTTGCTGCCATGGCTGCTTCCCCCTCCCACAGCCCTGAGCTCTCCTGCCTCCTCTCCTGACAGAACACATGTCTTGATCATTCGTGGGGGGTGTGCAGGGCCCAGGAGAAAATTCAGGAACTGGGGCTGTAGGGGTTGTTTATTTATTTAGTGGGAGTCATCAAGCACAAGTGCTGGGCAGGTCTCCTGAGGACAGTACAGAGTTTTCATGGTACATGAACCTGTTTACAGGGAGAGATCACAAGACTCAGCCAATATTGTCTTCACTCTCACAGAAGAACCTAGTGATGTTCACACACTGAGGACTGATTCTCCTCATGCCTCCTCCAATCTGGACCTTAACATTTTGATTCCTTGTCTTCCTGGCTCCTTCTTGACCTGTAGTCACCTTCCATTTGCTTCCTTCAAGTAGTGCTTTGTCTGCCTTGGGCTTCACAACAATTGACACCTGTCTGTCTGTCTGTCTGTCTCTCCCTCTTTCTCCCTTCCTCAGACATTGCATGTCAGAGGAGCCTTTTGGATGAGGTTCATTATAAGTGGTTCCTGTTCTGCCCCCTCTTCTGGCCCCTGGTCCCTTCTCATTTTCATCAGCTGTTCTCATCATTTTCTTTTCATTTCTGTAATTTATTTAAAAATTTTAAAACAACAAAGACCTGGGCTAAAGGTAAGTGTCCACTGCAGTTCAAGCCTTTGGCTCCTGGTGAGGATCTTCCCATACTCCACATGTTCTTCTGACCTCAGCTGTCCTCATTCTCCCATAGGCCATTCTATAGCTCCTTAGGTCTGTCAACCTAGACAAGGTGATGTCATATTCCTGACCTTTCCTCATCCTGTGTCCACTCTCTATTCAGGTCTATTCCTGGGCAGTTATGTCTGATGTTGTGATGGGAGGAGGTGGTGCTCAAGTCCCCTCCACCTTGAGTGTTAAGACACCATTTGATCAATGTGAACCTGCAATACATCAGGGCACCACCTTGCAAGCCTTAGAGTGACCTCTCCACCTCTGATTGTTCCCATATGGGGGTGGGCTCTCCAGGGTGAGAGGCAGGGAGAGTGGAGTGTGCACATCACTGTATCCCTGCTGGGTCCTGGAATAATAAGGAAGAAGCACAAGACTAAGGTCAAGCACTAGCAGCCATTTCTATGATTGTCCTCTATTAATGGTTGCAGGATAAGTCAACTGTATGAGTTTTTGATTAGGTTTGAATCCCAATTTCACAAAGAGCAGCATTAGCAAGAACAGGGGGACCTCTAGAAGTTTCCTACACCATCGCCCTCCATGTGCCAGCGTCCTGCCCAGGGCCCAGGTCCTGCTCCTCCTGCAGTCACCTGAGCTCGAAGGCGGACAGGGACAGCAGGTTGTTGTCTCAGACACAGGTGTGAATTTTGATCATCTTGTCCTGTCAGAAGGGGCCTGGACAATTCTGTGCTTGTCCTCCACATGCCAGGCCAGGCTGCTGCAACTGACAGGGCTCTCTTGGGTTTTCCCTGAGCTGTGGCTGACACAGTTGTGGTCCACAGCCCTCAGCTTCACCCGTTTCCCTTTCCTTCCTCCCTTTCTCCCTCCCTCCCTTCCTTCCTTCCTTCCTTCCTCCCTCCCTCCCTCCCTTCCTCCCTCTCTCCCTTCCTCTCATCTCTGCCATGCGAACAGCACTGGCTTCATGAAAGAAGGTTCGATTCATAAGAAATTGCTAGGGAGTTTTAAATTAAAGAGAAAAGACCCTTATTACCTTTAATACCTGCTCCTGGACAGCTTCTCTTAGCTCCCATCTCCAGCCATTTAATGCGGTGGCGAGGTTTACAGAAGAAACGAGAGAGAGAGAGAGAGAGAGAGAGAGAGAGAGAGAGAGAGAGAGAGAGAGAGAGAGAGAGAACATGCCAGGGAGTGGGCTTTTATTGGGGAACAAAAAATTCCAGGGAAAATCCCATCCAATGAAGGTTAAGGGAGGCAGCATTCCAAGGTAAGGGGTGACGATTGGGTCTTTGGGGCAGTGGCCAGACATGCCTCTGGACAGACAAGCCCTCGGACCTGGAGAAGGATCGGGAAAGCTCTGACACAGCTGTGTCTAAGTGCCTCTCACCCAGCCAGGGAGGTGAATCAAAGGAAATCAAATTATAAATATCAAATCCTAAAAGGGGTTCTCAAATGGTGGGTAGGAGGAAGGCAGCACTGTCCACCTGCCCCTCAGCTCAGGATTGTCCATGGAAGGTGTAACTTACCATGGGGACTCTGCCTCAGAGCTGCTCTGTGAACACTCTACAGCATACAGCACCTGTACTGGGAGACACAAGCTGAGAGCTGCTGCAACCCACTTTGGCTGAACTTTTCCTGAACTTCATGATCTTACACTTTTGGAGAGCTCACAAAGCTTTTTGGACAATGTCTGTCAATTAGGATGTTTGTCTACCACTCATTGTAGAAGTTAGCTGCAGCATCTCTGGAAAGAATATCTAGAAACGATGCTCTTCTGTTAGGGCTCCCTAGTGGATGGTGCCTGATTTCAATCTGTCTCACTACTGCAGATGTTCACATTGATTCCTGGGTTAAAGAAATATTTGAGACTTCTCTCCTGTAGTTCTTCTTTGTGTATTTGAAATGAGCATGAGTCTGGGGGTGTGACTAAGTGGCAGAGCACTTACCTAGCATTCCCAAGGTCCTCACTATGATGCATCTCCAACAATACAGCTCAAAAAGAGTTAACATGAAATTGTTGAAAAGTTCCTCAATCCTTTATAGATATCCCATTCCTCATCAAAAATCAGTATCAAGCTGAACTCATGGAACATCTTTTGTTTAATGGGTTACTTTGCATAATTACAAATCTTGATTTTCAAGTTATACAGACCTGGCCAGTGAGAGGCTCCTTCCTGGTAGTTTCTCTTTACTTTTGCCAGGGTCTCATCATTTTTGGAGGACTTCTTGTGTTCCCAACTCAAGGTGGTGGAGGGGTTTCTTATGCTAATATTCCTTTAGTGGCAAATAAGTCTGTGCATTTGAGTGCATGTTGGGAGCATGGGCTATTGTGCCTGGGTTAAAGAGAATGTGTAAATAACTCTCTCAGTCAACCCATCTATGGACCTCAACATCTATCATCTCCTGATCTATCTGCATGCACACTCCTATCTATTCCTACATATAATTCTGAGATTATTCTGATATTTCTGATTCCAGTCAAAATTGTGTTTGTTCTAACGATGTCCCTTTTTGTTTGGGATCCCTTCCACCTACAATGAGAATCGTGGCTCTGATTGTCTCTGGTGCATTGTTTCCCACCAACATTCCTCTGACTGAAAGCAACCTTTTGACATTGGCCTGCCCTCCATTAGACAGCTTCATGACCACTCGTGAATGTACCCTGATCCTGCTCTGATAACCCTTGCCAGGGCACATTAATCTTTACACACAAGTACAGATGCAGTGTCAATTGCCTTTTGTCACTGTGAAAAAAACCTGGGGGTAAAACACTTTAGAGGAGGAAAGAGTTACTCTGGGTCATGGTTTCAGTCCATGATCAGCTGGCTCCAAGACAGAGGTATCATGGCAGAAGGTCTTGGTGGAGGAATGCTGCTCAGCCATGGGATAAGGAAGGTATGAGGAAGGGCTCAGGGTAAAGAAGCACCCTCCAGGGCACAATCTCAGTGACCTCCTCCTTCCCAAAGGTTCTACCCCAAGAAATCATATAAATCATTCATTCATCAAATGGATGAATACCGTAATGAGGTCTTTACCCCATGAGACTTTGGGGAACCCTTCATATGTAAGCTGTAACAAAAGCCCGCTTTCCTCTGCCTATGTCCTCACCTGCACACTGGGGCCACACTGCAATGTGTCCTCCTCACTGTGCTCCACATTTGACCTGGACAGGGGCCTGCACTAACACCATCTGCATGAGAGAACACCCTCCTCCCCTTGCTTCAGTGTCCCCTCCAACACCCAGGTGTCCTCTTTTGCTCCAGTAGCCTGGAGGGTCTTCCAGCCCAGTTCTTTGACCCACCTTTCTCCTCACCAAGCATGTGCCCGAGCCTTGCTCCAGCCTCTGGGACAGTATTCTCTTAGGACCTGGGTGAGATTTGGTAACAGAATAAAGACAGGTTAGGATACAGGGTAGACTCAGGGCAGAGGAGCAACTGGTCCAGAATACCAGGATGAAGGGACAGCAGTGGCATACGGTCAACATCCTTCCCTTCCTTACCAACCTCGGTGCCTGTACTTGGTGTGTTGTGTCCCTTTCTGTTGCTTCCTCTTACCGCCCTTTGCATTTCTGGCTAGTAACACTGATGATTTTTTCATGCCCAGGTCTTCAAAGAGTCAGGTATAGAGGAAGCCTCTCTCGAATAAATATTGTGCTCAGGTATAAAAAGGATGAGGTCAGTGATTTTCCTGCAGGGTGTGGGGTGTGTGGGGCTGTGAAAGAGCTCATGAACCTTGTCTTGGTTGGAGAGTGAGCAGAAGAAGTGTTTCCTGAACTTTGATGAGACCAAGAGGTCTCTCTGCTCACAGGAACAATGGATGGTTCTCTCCTGTGCCTCTCAGGAAATACATTTTCTCTAGGCAAATCTGGGCTGCCTGGTGTATGGTGCAACACCTGGAGACACTTGGCCAGGCCTTAGAGGAGCCTCCCTGCAGCTGTGCCCAGCCTGCCCAGCCCTGCTGATTTGCATGTGCCCATAGCACAGCCCACTGCCCTGAGAACTTCTGAAGAGGCTTCTCACACCCTGTGCAGGAGACAGTCCCTATCAGGACACAGCATGGCCATGAGGGCTCCTGCTCAGCTCCTTGGGCTCCTGCTGCTCTGCCTCACAGGTAAGGAGGACACACTGAGGATGTGCTCAGACCACTTTCATCAGTGCTGCCTGGTGTTCAGGGAAATCCTCTTATGACATTATTAATTGTGTGCATATTTCTTCTCATCTGTTCAATTGTAGGTGCCAAATGTGACATTATAATGACCCAGTCTCCAGCCTCCCTGTCTAAATCTCAAGGAGAAACAGTCACCATCAGGTGCCAGGTCAGTCAGGGCATTAACAATTACTTAAGCTGGTACCAGCAGAAACCAGGGCAAGCTCCTAAGCTCCTGATACATTATACCAACAATTTGCAATCTGGGGTCCCCTCGAGGTTCAGTGGCAGTGGATCTGGGACAGATTATTCTCTCACCATCAGCAGCCTGGAACCTGAAGATGTTGCCACTTATTACTGTCAACAAGGTAACAGTTATCCTCCCACAGTGATACAGGCCATGACAAAAACCTCCCAGTGAGCAGAAGTGTGAGGCTGGGCTGCCCCAGCTGCTCCTCCTGCTGCCTCCACCTGCTGAGGGCACTGCTAAGGGGCAGCCAGGATCCCTGGGCCACTGAGGGGGTCTTTCTAGGCCTGGAGAAGTTCCTCTGTACCCTGTTTCTTTCTCCTTGTCAGCCCCAGCACTCAACCTTTAATTGGTGTCTTTGAAGGTGTTTGCACTACTCAGTGCAGTAGTACTCCACCCACCAATGGCAAGAAGATAAAGGAGGCCAATCAGGAGAAGCACTATGATGAGTTCTTTCCCTGTGATATACAGAAACCTGGTGCTGAGTGAGCTCAGCCAAGATGCCCAGGGGAACAAAATTGTTGTTCAGAGACAGAAAAATGAAGACAGTTTTTTATGACAGAGATGACACTACAAAAACTGTGGACAAGACCTTTTCATAGTAAGTATTCTCTGTCAGCCTCATATGCAGTCACCTGGTGTATAAAGTGGGATCTACATCAATTATCAGAGAGTGAATGTTGTAACAAACCACCAGAAACCTTCAACAGAAAGACCATAAACTGAACCATAAATAGCATCAAACAGCCTCGGAATTGATCTAGAACATGCTCATGTGTTTGGAAATGTGAAGTGGTACCTGAGTTGGAGACGTGCCCTGACCATGCACATATCTGTGATCGAGGCCTTCCACTCAGAGCACAAGCAGATGTGCACAGATCCCCATGTGCAGGGACCACACAGCATTGTCTGTGATAACTGAAAACTGAATCAGCTAAATGCCAATCAAGAGTAGAATGGAGACTTGGGAAGATGGCGGCGAAGGGAGTGCATTGCCCCCGTGTACCGCGTCACTGTGCGGGAGAATGACGAGTTAGAATGGCTAAAAGCTATATTGTTAGGGATTTCCTGCAAAATTGGGGTGCTCCAAAACCTAGAGGAAGGATTTCCATCACACGAGGATCAGCTACGTGGACTCAAACGTGAGAGATTTGTCCACACGGAGGGTCACACTGCTTATTCATCAAATCGCCCCGCGGCTAGAGTCTGCGGCGCGCACTGGGAAACGACGAGATAGCAACTCAAAGATACAGCACTGCAGATCTGCGGGCTTCTGCCAGCTGTGCAATCACCATGCTCAGTGCTGAATTCTGAGTTTGAGATGGGGGAAGAAAGCGGTCCAATTCGGTTCTCCACAACGGTCAGACCACAGAGGAAGCCAGCGGCCACCATCTTGGAGAGCTGACGTCACCATCCCTGTTTTCGACTGATCGCAGCTCATTCAGCCATAGAAGAGGTAATTTCAGGCTGACATTCGCCTGCGTCTCACAGACAAATTACTCAGGCTCAGTGCTAAAGAACCCATGGAAACTGCTTCTTGGAGCCTGCTCCTATCAGAACATACACCAAGCCTGGAGCAGCCGAATTCCGGCTCCTGGAACTGCTCTGGCCCAGGGCTAAAGAAATGGCAGAAACTGCTTCTCGGTCCGGGTCCTGCTGAATACTGTGGAGGTAAATACCAACCAAGCCATCATAGGCAGTGGCAACAGGATTGAGATGGGGCATGTGAGGGCCGGTCAGGACTCACCCGTTGCTTTGGTCACCCGGCAGAGAATGAAATGCTGACATTCGCATGGGATACCAACATGGCAGAGATCTGATGTCATCAGAAAGTGGCAGAGAAGAGAACTTCATCGATACCAGCGGCAACAGAAACAGTTGGTCTCCTGGTAAAGAAAGTGAGTCACAAACACCCGAGTCTCTCTCACATTGTCATCAAGCCAGAGGGGCAGAACAGAGCCACCGCCCACGCCCGGAACAGGCCCGGCGACCTGCTGACATGGTAGTCACGACACCCCAGTTGGAGTAGGGGCTGAGCGGAGCCGCCACCCACGCCCGCAAGGTAGGCATACCTGCGACCGATCGGTGGAACAGGCCCAGCGGCCTGCCAGCATGGTAGACACGTCACCCCAATTGGAGTAAGGGCAGAGCAGAGCCACCACCCGCACCTGCAAGGTAGGCAGACCTGCGACCGACCAGAAGAACAGGCCCAGCGGCCCGTCAGCGTGGAGGACAGATCACCCCAATTGGAGGAGCACAGCCACCGCCCGACCCTGCAAGGGAGAATTTTCAACTATACAAGAGCAATATAAATATATAGGGGGAAAATTTCAAAAACACAACAGTTTCACCAAGCAGAAAGAAATGCGAGCAGTATGAAAAGACAAGGAAAGAAAGGACCACAAGCAATTCAGGTCAACTCAACTTTAGAAGAGGTAAGCTGCAGCAGATGGAATGTCAGATAAAGAATTCAGGATATACATGCTTCAGATGATCTGGAGTCTCAAGGAAGACATTAGACAGAAAAATCAGACAATGAAAGATTACTTCAACAATGAATTACATAAACAAATCCAGGAAGCAAAAGATCAACTATACAGGGAGATAGAGGTTATAAAAAACAAACAAACAGAAATCCTAGAAATGCAGGAAGCGATAAACCAACTTAAAAACTCAATTGAGAATACTACCAAAAGAGTAGAACACTTAGAAGATAGAACATCAGACAAGGAAGACAAAGTATTTCAACTTGAAAAGAACATAGAGAGCTCAGCAAGACTGTTAAGAAACCATGAGCAGAACATCCAAGAAATATGGGATAACATTAAGAGACCAAACTTAAGAGTCATTGGGATACAGGAAGGTATAGAGGTCCAAACCAAAGGAATGAGCCATCTATTCAATGAAATAATACGAGAAAACTTCCCAGACTTGAAGAATGAGACAGAATCCCAAATCCTAGAAGCCTACAGGATGCCGAATGTGCAAAATCATAAGAGATCCACACCCAGACACATTATAATGAAGATGCCCAACATACAGAATAAGGAGAGAATTTTAAAAGCTACAATAGAAATGAAGCAGATTACATTTAGGGGTAAGCCAATCAGGATAACAGCTGATCTTTCAACACAGACTCTGAAAGCTAGAAGATCCTGGAATAACATATTTCAAACACTGAAAGAAAAGGGGTTCCAACCAAGAATTGTGTATCCAGCGAAATTAAGCTTCAGGATGGAAAATGAAATTAAAACCTTCCACGATAAACAAAAGTTAAAAGAATTTGCAGCTAGAAAACCATCTCTTCAAAACATCCTCGGCAAAACATTACAGGAAGAGGAAATGGAAAATAACAATGAAAACCAACAGTGGGAGGTAGGACAGTAAAGGGGGGGGTAATCAAAGAGGAAAACAAACCATGTTTAGTAACATAAATAAACAAATATGGCTGGAAGAACAACCCATATCTCAATAATAACCCTAAATGTTAATGGCTTAAACTCACCAATTAAGAGACACAGGCTAGTAGAATGGATCACAAAACAAGACCCAGCAATATGCTGCCTACAGGAGACACATTTGATAGGAAAAGACATACATAGAATGAAGGTGAAAGGTTGGGAAAAATCATATCACTCATATGGACTTCCGAAACAAGCAAGAGTGTCCATACTCATATCAAATAAAATATATTTCAAGCCAAAGTTAATCAAAAGGGATAAAGAGGGACAATACATACTGCTCAAGGGAACCATACACCAACAAGACATAACAATCATAAATATATATGCCTCAAATAATGGTGCAGCTATGTTCATCAAACAAACTCTTCTCAAGTTCAAGAGTCTAATAGACCACCATACAATAATCATGGGAGACATCAACACACCTCTCTCACCACTGGACAGATCTTCCAAACAAAAGTTGAATAAGGAAACTATAGAACTCAATAACACAATTAATAACCTCGACTTAATTGACATACATAGAATATACCACCCAACATCAAGCAGTTACACTTTTTTCTCAGCAGCACATGGATCCTTCTCAAAAATAGATCATACATTATGTCACAGGGCAACTCTTAGACAATATAAAGGAGTAGAGATAATACCATGCATCTTATCTTATCATAATGGAATGAAACTGAAAATCAACGATAAAAGAAGGAAGGAAAAATCATGCATCACTTGGAGAATGAACAATAGGTTACTGAATGATCAATGGGTTATAGAAGACATCAAGGAGGAAATTAAAAAATTCTTAGAGATAAATGAAAACACAGACACAACATATCGGAATCTATGGGACACATTAAAAGCAGTTCTAAGAGGAAAATTCATTGCTTGGAGTTCATTCCTTAAAAAAAGAAAAAAAAAACAACAAATAAATGATCTCATACTTCATCTCAAAATCCTAGAAAAAGAATAGCAAAACAACAGCAAAAGAAGTAGACGGCAAGAAATAATTAAAATCAGAGCTGAAATTAATGAAATCGAAACAAAAGAAACAGTTGAAAAAATTGACAAAACTAAAGTTGGTTCTTTGAAAAAATAAATAAAATCGACAGACCTTTAGCCATGCTAATGAAGAGAAGAAGAGAGAGAACTCAAATTACTAGCATACGGGATGAAAAAGGCAATATCACAACAGACACTTCAGAAATACAGAAGACAATCAGAAATTATTTTGAATCCTTATACTACAATAAAATAGAAGATAGTGAAGGCATTGATAAATTTCTTAAGTCATATGATCTGCCCAGTTTGAGTCAGGAGGATATAGACAACATAAGCAGACCAGTATCAATTGAGGAAATAGAAGAAACCATCAAAAGACTACCAACTAAGAAAAGCACAGGACCGGATGGGTATACAGCAGAGTTTTACAAAACCTTTAAAG